ACTACATCATCAGACCACCCACCTGTCAGTGGAGGCTTGTATGTTATTAAGATTTTAAACAAGTTTCAGTAGAACTTCCAGTCTAAGTTAAGACTTGGGAGAAAAGCCTGAAAATCTATTTATGAAAATCCTATTTATACAGTGGTCAGATCTGCAACAAATCATGGGGATGATGCATACCCTTCCTTTACACATGAGGTCCTGTGAGATGGGAACTGGCTCAATAGCAGCTAACAATAAAAACAAATATGACAAATCTTTCAGAATCTTTGAGTCTTCTTTTAAAATCTGAGCCTACAATACAAATATATTTTTATATAAATAATGTACCCTTATATTTGGTTGTATGTGATATTGATGATGTTGCTCAATAATTGCAACATTCAGTTGGGTCACCCTTCTTGGGAATAGGAATAGATATGAACATCTTCCAATTCATTGGCCAGACAGCTATCCTCCAAATTTCCTAGCACAGACTGGTGTGTCCAAGGCTGCATGTGTTAATTGAAACAAGTCAATTGATATCTTATTGATTCCTGGGGCCTTACTTTTTACTGCCTTCAATTCAGCTTCCACTTCCTCTTTCATTACCATTGCCTCCTGTTCATATGGTATTTCCTGAAATTTTTCAGTGTCAGTCAATTCTGTCTGGTAAGTGACTCTATGTATTCCCTCCATCTTCTTTTGATGCTTTCTGGGTCACTCAATACATTGCCCATAGCATCTTTCAATATTGTGACACAAGGCTTAAATTTGTTTTTCAGTTCTTTCAGCTTGAAAAATGCACAGCAAGTCCTTCCCTTTTTATTCTCCAATTCCAGCTCTCTGCACATTCCATTATAATATTTTGCTATATCCTCCCGAGCTGTCCTTTAAAATTGTTTGTTCCTTTCACTTTGATGTGTTTTCTTTTAGATTTGGCTTCTCAACGTTCCAGTGAAATCTTTAGAGTCTCTTCTGACATCCATTTTGGTTTTTTTCTTTCTCCTCTGTTTTTGTAATGACATTTTTCTTTCTTCATGGATGATATCATCACATAATCATCTCATCTTCTATCATTGGTGTTCAATGCCTCAAACTTATTTTTTTGTTTGTTTGTTTTGTCTTTATAATTGTGTGTGTGTGTGTGTGTGTGTGTGTGTGTGTGTGTGTACCATCAAATGGGATCTGACTGGTATAGGAGGAGATTGTCCCTCCTTCTCCAGCAGAGAATCTGGTGGATTTGAACCTCCCACCTCTATCTAGGATTGTGGTGCAGCTTCTTGCCACTAGGCCACCAGAGCTCTCCTCAAACCTATTCTTAAGATGATCATGAAATTATGATGGAAAAGATTCAAGATCATATCTGGTTCCTGAGGACTTATTTTCACTTTCTTTGGCCTCAATTTGAACTTGTATATGAGTAATTGATGACTTGACCTACAGTCTGCGCCTGGCCTAGTTTTGACTGCTGATATTAAGATTCTCCAACAATTTCTTCCACAGATGTAGTCAGTCTGATTATTAAGCAGCCCAACACATGAAAACCATGTGTAAAGTTGTATTTTGTGTCTTTTAGGAAAAGTATTTGCAATTAATAAGTCATTGTAAATACAAAATTCAATCATTCTATTTCCAGCCTCATTTCTATCACCACACCTATATCTTCCAACTACTGATCCTTCTTCATTGTTTCGTACTTTTGCATTCCAGTCACCAATTATCATTAGAAAATCTTGATTGCATGTTCAGTTAATTTCAGACTACAAAATTTGGTAAAAATTCTCAATGCTGAAGATCATTAAAAAAAATGGCTGGAACAGTACATAGATAGGGGATAGGTGACCAGTGCGGATGATTATCACCAGGAAACTGAATTGGGGACTATATTTAAAGTCTGAAATTATATCAATAGTACCATAAAGATGAGAAACTGACAACAACTCACAACAGAAATTGCCTCACACATACCAGGAAGTACTTTACAAAAGAAGAATCAGAGAGGTTCATATGTTAAGAAAAAAACAAAATAAGCCTTCTCCTAAAAAGGCAGACAAGATCGCAGACTCAATGAATACCCCAGGCAGCAAGGCAGAAGAAATATATTAACATGGAGTTACATACACTGCTACTGTAGAAGTTAAGTGATCAAAGAAAAAGATGAAACCATAAAGAAAGAGGCATAAGAAATAATAATAAAAATAAAATCATCACAAGACAGAGAGTAATGGAACAGTCATGGAAATGCTTGAAAATACAGTTCAGAATATCAAGACTGATAAATAGGAAATTTTCAACGTGTTAGAGGGATAGAAGTAGAATAGAAAAGATGGAACAGAAAATCAGTGATCTAGAACACAAGAACCTCAATGAAAACCTACTAGAAGAGAAAACAGAGAAGATGGAAGGAAAATGAAGACATCATTAGAATCGTATGAGATAACATCAAATGGAACAACATACATGTGATCAGAATTCCAGAGAGCAGGAGAGGAGAATAAAAGCACTGAGAATCTGTGGTAAAGGTGCTAAAGAAAACTTTCCAGGTATGATGGGAAAGAAGGAAATCCCTATTCAAGAAACTTGGGGAACTACAAACAGACTAGGTATAAGAAACCCCACCAAGGCATAGCATAGCCAAATTTTCAAAAATCGAAGATAAGGATAGGGTACTAAAAGTGTTGTGAGAAAAGCAAAGAGCCACCTACAAAGGAGAACCAATTAGATTAAGTTCTGCATTTGCAGTAGAAACTGTGAGCAAGAAGACAACGGGATGGTATATACAGAAGACTGAAAGAAAACAATTGGCAGCCGAGGATCCTCTACCCAAGAAAGGTGTTCACTGAACATATAGGAGAAATTATGTTCATTTGCAGAAAAGGTCATTTGCAGAAAAGAAGGTACTTAAAGTATAGGAACTTCAGCAATGGGCTCAACTCTGTCAGAGATTGTGAGGATGGCACAGGATAGAATGGGTTTCAGAGCTGTTGCTCATAGGGTAATAACTGTTGCTATGAGTCATCCATGACAGCACCTAACAACAACACAGCTAATTGAAGGTGGATATCATTTTTGTACCAAAGTGTATAAAAACTTTCCTTCTACACTGTTTGTAAGGAGAAAAGACTGAAAAAAAATTCATATTCAACTATAAGGGGTTCCTTCAATAAGAGTTTATTCCTGTGCCATGATTTCCAACATAGGTTATAGTCTTATACATTAAGAGATGAACAAATGTTATTATGTTTAGGAAATTTTTGGAGAAACAAAAAAAAAGTAATTGCCAATATTGCTTGTCAGAGAGTAGGACATGATTTGCCCAGCCCAGTAAAACATGAAAATGCAGAACCCTAGTGGCAAGATGCTGTGCTGAAATCCCAAAGGTGCACTGTTCAAGGTCACCGACTGCTCCACAGAGAAGGATGAGCAATCTCCTCCCATGCCATTAACTGTCTCTGAAAACCCACCAGAGGGTCCACTATGGGTCAGTTGCAATTCTATGTACACAACAACTTGTTCAAAAGTTACTCATTTTAAGATGTCAACTTCATAACATTACACCAAGGGCAAGATCTTTTTAGAGGAAAGGCTCTTCTGGAATAGGCCCAGCCAGTTGTTGTTGTTAGGTGCCATCAAGTTGACAACTCATAATGACCCTATGAACAATTACTCTGAACCCTGCCCTATCCTGTGCAATTCTGCTCATCTCTGACACACTTACACCCACTACTAAAATCACTGTGACAATCCAACTCAATGCAATTCTTTCCCTCCTTCTTTTATTTACCCTGCACTTTTCTGAGCATGACGGCTTTCTCCCAGGACTGGCCCTTCTAACAACATACCCAAAATATATGAGAGGAATTTTTACCATCTTTCCTTCCAATAAGAGCCCAACTCAGTAGGCCTTCTCCAATAGCATATCCATGAAGCCAGCTAGCTTTGTTGTTGTTGTTATGTGCCGTCGAGTCGCTTG